GCCGCGCCCCCACGTGACCCGCGCACGCGCTGTGGGAGGGGCCGTTGCGGGACCCGCCCCGCCCGGCGTCCCGAGTGCGCGTGCGCAGCGGTTGCCGTGGGGACCAGGGAAGCGTAGGGCTGCCAACGACGCAGAAGCAGACGCAGACGCAAACGCAGAGTGGCCTGGCGGGCTGGGGCACGTAGTGATCCCACACAACCGGGCTTCCCCACTGCTACGGGGTGTTCAGTGTCTCCGGAATAAACATGCACCGCGAGGCCTCGGAGCCCGTGGCGGACGGCGGAGCGGAGGAGGACTGCGCGCGGGAGCCGGGCTTGGAGCCAGCCGAGGAGGAGTCGGCGGGTGACCACGGGAACGCAGGCCAAGGGGGCCGCAAGGAAGGTGCCGACAGCCCCCCCAGGGAGGCGAGGGGGGCGACGGGCTGCGCCCAGCACCACACACCTAGTCTTCACAGCCAGCAGTAATAATAATAATAATAACGGCGGCCGACACTTACTAAACGATGCATGCCGTGCGCTCACTGCATTCGAGCCATACACCCTCCCTCTGCGGTAGGCACTCCTCTCCCCGTTTCATACAGATGAGGAACCTGGAACTTAAAGAGGTTATAGAACTTGCTCCACACAGATTACCCTCAGCCAGTCAATGACAAGAGACTCACGCCTGGACAGTCTGACTCCAGAGCCCAAGCCCTCACTGAACACACCATTCTCCCCACCGCCCAACTTCTTAATGTTTTGAATGTTTCCCTTTATCGCCGTCACCATGTAAGATCAAAGGCTCTCTCCCCGTCTAGATGGCAAGCTATGTCAGGGCAGGACATCCTGATTGAACTGGCAGTGTCCGGTCCAGTGCCTGATCTATGGTAGACAGAGTGAATGACGAGCTGATGCTTCTGAGGTGACTCCTCACCAAAGTCTTCCGGAATCGGCTTAGAAAACAGCCTCCCCTCCTGCTTGGCTTGGACTGTAAGGGAAACTTTTTAGGGACTGGTAAAGAAACTCACTTGATTTGTGTCTCATGTTTTGAAGCCAGCTAACAAATATATCTTGAGCATTGAGGCCCGCGTACCGAAAAAAAAAAAAAAAAAAAGATTTAAGTGCATTTGAATCAGCCAATTTTGATGGACCTTTAAAAAAAAATAAGTGCATTTGAACGTGTTCATTTTCTTTCTACCAGAGATATTCCCATCATTTTTGTTTCTTCTTGTGTGTTTTTTGAGAGCTTTTTTTAAAATTGAAGTGTTGACTTATAATGTTATATTAGTTTAGGTGTACAACATGAGTCAAAATTTTTATAGATTATATTCCATTTACAGTTACTATAAAATGTTGGCCGTATTCCCTTTGCTGTACAATACACCCTTGTAGCCTATTTATTTTATAGATGGTAGTTTATATTTCTTAATCCCCTACCTCTATCTTGCTCCTCCCTCCTCTTTTGAGAACTTTTTAAAAAGAACAGAGAACATTATAACAAACACCCATGTATCACCACCAAGAATTGAAAATGATTAGCATTTTAATCATATGTACCTCAAGTCCTTTTTTTTTTTTGCTGTACGCGGGCCTCTCACTGCTGCGGAGCACAGGCTTCGGACGCGCAGGCCCAGCGGCCATGGCTCATGGGCCCAGCCGCTCCGCAGCATGTGGATCTTCCCAGACCAGGACACGTTCCCATGTCCCCTGCATCGGCAGGCGGACTCTACCACTGCTCCACCAGGGAAGCCCCCTCAAGTCTTTTTTTAAAGAAATAAAACATTTCAGATAAATTTGATGTTTTTTGCCCTACCCCACCTCTATTCCTAGCCCCATTCCCTTCTCCCCACCTCCAGAATTTTGTGTGGGTTCTTTCAATCTCATCTGTCTCTCTCTTTCCC